CATGGAAAGAACAGGAACTTCTAAAAGGACAATTAATATATTAGCTCTTGATTTATGAACACTCTTCAAATGGTCTCATAACCAACAAAGAATCTTATCTGCAGGAGACAGGCTACAATCAGAACTAAAGTCACAGGATTACCCTGAGGTATTTCAGAGTGTTCCCGGGGCTGCATCTGCTAGAAAGCTGATCTGAAACCACTACAGAGCAAGGGAAGCTGTGAAGGAGCTATTTAAAAAGCCAGAACAAAGCATCTTCTCACCGATGCTTAGTTACACAGGGGTCAGAGGCACGACCAAGATTATTTTCATCCTGAAAACATAAACCAAACATCTTCATCCATCTTATAAATCCATGCTTCTAAAAGAAAACAGCTTACTTCAAAATGGTTGTCATAAAACCAATTTAAAGTTGGTTTTATGCTTTAAAAACAACAACAACAAAAAAAAAAATCCAAAAGCTGGAGAGATGGCTCGGTGATCTCAGTGATTAAGAGCACTGGCTGCTGGCTGCTCTTCCAGAAACCCTGGGTTTGATTTTTTTTTTTTTTTTTTTTAAGACAGAGTTTCTGTGTAGCCCTAGCTGCTTGGACTGGAACTCGCTCTGTAGATCAGGCTGGCTTTGAATTCATAGGGATCTCTCTGCCTCTGCCTCTCAAGTGCTAGGATTGAAAGTGTGCGACACTACTGCCCAACTTTGGATTTTTAAAATTTTTCCATGTTATCATACAGAAAAGAGTATGTGCTGAGAGAAAGAGAGAAGAGAGAGACAGAGACAGAGACAGAGACAGAGACAGAGACAGAGAGAGAGAGAGAGAGAGAGAGAGAGAGAGAGAGAGAGAGAGACCCTCAATAAAAGGCAATACACCTTTCCTCTTTCCTTATAAGACTGGGAAATGGAAACCACCTCATGACTCCAGCAAGGCAACTGCTAGGCAAACCATGGCTCAATGTTCTTCCAACCCAATCAGGACCCCATTCCCCAGCCAGTGGATAGACACAAAAGCTCAAATGCTTTTTACCTGGATGAAGGTTAAACTTTTAAAAAGAAATGCAAGTAACAGCCTTATGATAATTTGTTTTAACTTCTACTTTTCCTACCAGGGTAGGGTGCTCTCACCCACCCTCTGTAGTGCATAGCTCTACAATATGTCACTCTGAAGCAGGCAAGCCTGAAACCAGACATGGAATATGGTAAAGCTAAAGCCACAGGGCAATCTTCGGCATCCGGGAGACACAGCCAAGCAACACCCTTATTATTCACAGGGTATGATTCACCAGCCCTACTTTTTAAGTCAGCATCACACTCTAATCATCTTGCGAGGTGTTAGCCCCCAAATTATTTGAAAATAATATGAACTGAATCCATTAAAATGACATGAGGGGTTTCTCCTCCATATCTTTTCTATGGAGGAAATATTTGATCATTATAAAACATGCAAAATATTAAAAAAAAAACTTTAGATCCCAAAGGCAAGGGAGAAATTCAATAAAAATTAAATAGTCAGTCAATGATTCTTTAACGTGAAAATGGTGTGGAAAACCTAAAGCAACAAATAAATCCCTGCCCTTGACCTAGGAAGCTGGAACTATGCTACCAGACAGAGTGAGGGAACCTCAGCTCACTGGATGGCTATTTGCGTGGTCATGCTCTATCTTTGAACTTTGGGAAAAAAAAGAATTATTTACTTTTTGTTATGTATATAAATGTTTGCCAACATGTATATATATATGTGTACCACATGTATGCCTGGTGCCTGCAGCGGTTAGAAGAGGATCTTGGATCTCACGAAACTGGAATTACAGACTGCAATTAGCCTCCATTTGGGTGCTGGGAATCCAACCCAGGTCCTCTGTAAGGGCAGTAAAGGCTCTTTTTTTTTTTTTTTTTTTTTTTT